AATTTTGATTGGACTGGATTTCTAATATGAGACTGTTCTTATAGTTGAAACTAAAAGCTGTAGGATCTGATGTGATATTTCCAAGCTCAGCTCATTCTATAGCCCAGTAAGAATAATTTATTCCCACCATTGATAAAGGCACTGTGAGACATGGAGCATCCAGAGTGCTATGCAGTTTCCAGAACAAAGTCCCAACAACCACAGCACAACGCTGAGCAGTCAGTTCCAGTTCTCCAAGCTGGTGATTGGTGAGATTTCTATTGATCTGAGGTGCAAACTACCTTAAGTTGTACCAGGGGCAGCAAATGCAAATGCCAACAGGGGCCAGGCAGGAAATCCAAATAATCAATGAAGGGTGTTAGGTGGGGGCCCTGGGGAACTGGAGAGCCTGTGTCCCATCTGAAAGGGACAGCTGTCTCTCAAATCTAGCCAATTGTTGCCCAATGAAGCCAGATCTTCCTGTTTTCCCAGAAATGCCAGAAATCTCCACTTTTGGTAGTGTCTCCTGATTTCAGAATTGTTGGTAAGAATATCAGTTAGGGTCCTTTGTGGCAGAGACACAATGTACTCCAGGTGGGTCAAGTAAAAGTGCTTTTACAGGGTGGTACTATGGACTGAAATGGGTCCCGTCCACATTCATATGTTTAAGCCCTAACCCCTTAATGTACCTTTACAATGCTCAGGAGGTAATTAGGGTTAGGTGAAGCCAAAGGGTAAGGCCCTAATTCAAAAGGCAATGAATGGCCTAATAAGAAAAGGAAGCCATGTGAGTCATGCCTGCCATGTGAGACACATCAAGATGCCCTCTGACATCCAGAAAGAGGGCTCTCCCCAGAACCCAAATATGCTGGCACCAACGTCTCCAGCCTCCAGAACTGTGAGAAAAATAAATTTCTCTTGTTGAAGCCATCCACCAGCGGTATTTTGTTAGGTTAGCCAAGGCAGACTAAGACAGGTGGTTAGAAAGCCTGTGGAATCTCCAGGAGGACAAGAGTGCTAGTTTCAGACTGTACAGCTGGGAATGATGCTCAAACTGCACAACTGGACACTCCTGTGAATACCATGCTATGCCTCTCGGCACAGACCCCATGCTTACACAGGGGCGGTCCACCTGGAAGCAGGTGCATTGGCTGCTGTGCTTACTATCAGATAGACTCCTCTTTGTTGCTCACTTCCAAGTATAAATCTCATGTGACATGTGTAATGGTAGAGCCCAGATCACATGAAACTTGCTTGCGAAGGAAGGTTCTGGAGGAGTGCTTTGGTTTCTTTCTTTCTTTCTTTTTTTTTTTTTTTGCTTTGGTTTCTCTTATGGAGAGATGTGACTCATAATGTAGGTATTTTCCAAACATAGGAAAGGTATTCAAAGGGGGCTGGATGCAAAGCATAACAAATATCCACTATAGCAATTAATTGAAAAGATGTGATAGTGGTTATGCAGGGATGGGGGCAAACAATGCCTTTGTGTGCTTGCTTACAACCCTGCCAGTGATGACTTCCGAACTATGGGCTAATTTTTTAAATGTCTATTTCCTCTGAGAACAACTAGAAAAGCCAAATCAAATCATTATCATCATCACCATCATCACCATCATCATCTACTTAAAGGCATTCAGAAAGCTGCTGAATCAACCAGAACTGGAGGGGCCAAAATTCTGAAACAATGTTGAAGTGAGTTGACAAACTGCAGCCACTTTTTCCCTGGGGCATTTGCAATTTTGGGCACTTAGAAATCTAGAGTTTTCCTGGGCAAGGATGCTGCTGCTGGGGGACAGAGAAACCAGCAGAATTTCAGCAGTGTCTTAGGACTGGAGAGACTATCCTAGAGAGAAGGGAGGGATAGAAAAGTGCTTGATGTTGGCGTTTTTCCCCTTAAGATATTTGGTAAATTCTGAAGCAGTGCAGGCCAAGGGGCTAGAAGCCAAACAGAAAGCCCCTGAAAAACAGAGCAGAGTGTCCAGCAGTCTTGCCATGTTATGGCTACAGAATTAGAGCACAGGACCAGGGGGAGGTGCCTCGGTGAACATCTGAAGTTCTCAGTTGGACTCTCTGAAAGGCAGAGCCTTAGAGGGGGGAGCCAAAGTCAGATGGTCTCTTATTAAAACTGCAACACAGCCTCCACCCAGCTCAGCCCCTGATTGGATTAAGATGCTTAGTACCCCTGCCACCTGCATGCAGAGAAAGGGCGAGCCCTCCCCAGAGTTAGATATTACCTGGAGACTTTATATATATATTTTTCATACACAGATGTTATATGGCATTCAATAAAAATTACAAGGCCTGCCAAGAGACAGGACCAAATCCCTGAAAACAAATAGAAAAACAGGCAATAGAAACAGACTCTGCAGGTGACTGAAGCACTGGAATAAAACCAAGGCTTTAAAATAATCATGATTAATATGTTCAAGAGAAACAAAGCAAAAGAAGGGGAAAATAGAGGAAAAGATAATTTTATCAGAGAATTGGAATCCAGGAACTTCACAGTCCAAAAGAATGAGGACACAGAGAACTCGCTTGAGCACCTCCAAATCCACAGATGGATTTTGAAAATGCTGAGTCAGCTCTGTATGAGCCATAAAACCTCATGGCCCACAGTCCAAAAAAAAAAAAAAAAAAAGTTTCCATCACTGTCATTCTCTCTACTTCTCAAGTGGCTTCCTCTAAGGGATACATATTGTACCATGTGTTCTGAGTCACTCTGCTCTATAAACCCAGTTGCCGGCCATGGAGCTCTGTTTACCTGGAGAAAGAGGAGCCTTTTGCTAATTATCCTAAATACATCTTTTGAGCAATGTGTGTTGGGAGTACTAATAGTTAAGATAATCATCAGGAAGATGAAGCCTCTCTAGGATGATATTTGAGTCAACACCAAGTGACAAGGAACCAACCAGGGGAGAATTAGAGGGAAATGTGGTTTGCACAGAGGTGATATGGAGAGCAAAGAACTGAGGCAAGAATATGTTTGCTGATTTAGTCAGGGGTGGGCAGACTTTCCTGGAAAGGACTCGATAGCACGTATTTTAGGCTTTACAAGTCATACAGTGCCTGTTGCAAGTACTCACTTCTGCTGTTAAAACACAGCAGTAAATGCAGACATAAAACGAATAGGTGGCAGTGGTCCAATAAAACTTTATTTATGGACACTGAAATTAGAATTTCTTATAATTTTCACGGCACAAAATCTTTTGATTTTTCCCCCAACCACTTAAAAATATAATAACCATTCCTAGTTTGCTGGTGTAAGGTCGTTTAGGTAGGCTGGGATCAGATCGTACATAGGACCTGGTAACAATCAGATTAGGGCAAAGCCCCTTTCCCCGTCCAAATGGAAAGCTACCCGTCAAGGTAACTGCAGGCCAGGGTACCAATTCTAGGGGTGGGCAGCTTCCTACAGCTCATGGAAGACATCAGGTTTGCATTGCTCTTCCCCAGTAGCAAGAAAGGACAAACGAACGCACACGCACGCACTCGGGGAGGCAGCTCTCCACAGCTCATGGAAGACGATCCTGTTTGTTTTCTTTTCCCCAGTAACAAGAAAGAACAAACGAACAAAAAGACAAACAGATGCGCACACACACAGGGCTCATGGAAGACGATCAGGTTTGTTTCGTTTTACACACACACACGCCCCGAGCCAGAGAGCCAGAGAGGACGTGCCCAGGTTCACGCTGCCGCCTCTCCAGCACGCACTAAGGGTCTGAAAGTTGGGTGCACACCTGCTCCCAGCCCGAGCGCACCTGCGGAGCGGTCCTCGGGCCTCGTCTCGCGAGAGCGTGCCGTAGTAGTGGCCCCCACCCCCGCCCGCCCCCCCCCGCCCGCGCCCGCGCCCAGCCCAGCCCAGCCCCCGCGCCCGGGCGCTCTCCCCGCAGGCTCCCTGCCCGCCGGCTCGCACGCACGCACGCCCGGTAGTAACTGCGCTCCGCCACGCGAGCCCCGCAGCCCCGCGAAGCCCGCCCCCGCCCCCCGCCCCCCGCGCCCGGGCCCCGGGCCCCGGGCCCCGCCGGAGCCGCAGCCGCAGCCGGAGCCGCAGCCGCAGCCCGAGCCGGCTCCTCCGCGGGCAGGTGCACGAGCCTGCGCGCGCCGCGGCCGCCTCCTCCGGCGGGTCCCTGGCGCGCCGGGCCGGGGCGGCTGCGCGCACGGCGCCGCTCCACCAACCCGCTCCCCGCAGGTCCCTCGCTCGCTCTCCATCCCTCGCCGGCGCCCCCCCCCCCGCCCGCCCGCGCTTTGATTGACAGGCAAGATGTCGGTGTGGAGCGAGGCAGGAGCGAATGCAGCAGCCGTCACCCCCGGAGCCCGGCGGCGGCAGCAGCAGCAGCAGCAGCAGCAGCGCGAGGAGGAGACAGCAGCCAGCCGCAGTCGCCGCCGCAGCCGCGCGAGCAATGCAGACCGCATCTTGAGGACGCGCTAAAGCTCCCCAAACGGTGGACAATGCCGTGTCACTGCAACCGGGAGGGGGGCAAAGCAGAATTTTTTTGACATAAAAGCCAGCCAGCCAAAAATATATACATTTGTCCTTCACGGAGCCGGTGTGTAAAGAGTGAGCGCTGTTTTCCTTCGCCTCCTCCTCTCCCTCCTCTCCTCTCCTCCTCCTCCTCCTCTTCCCCCCTCCTCCTCTTTTTCCTCCTCCTCCTCCTCCTCCTCCTCCTCCTCCTCCTCCTCCTCCTCCTCCTCCCCCCTAAGTGTACAGACAGCATCACATCACCTGGTTTGCTTCTGAGAAACAGCATCTCTCCTTTTCAGGGACCAGAGACTCAGAGAGAGAGGAGACATTCTAATGGAGTCTGCCTGATACCCCAAAATAAAATAATAAATTTTGGCTCTCGTCCCCTCCTCCCACCCCACCCCCTCAACCCTGTGTGAGATGTTGGGTTTCTTCTACATGAGACATTGTTGAGAAGTCGCAGTGGTTGGAGAGCGTAGGGGGTAGACTACCTCTACTCCCCCCCCCCTTTTTTCTCTCTGGGAGGAGGAGGAGGGGAAGGGGGCTTGCCGAGCAAGCGATGGATGAGGAAAACATGACGAAAAGCGAGGAGCAGCAGCCTCTGAGTTTGCAAAAAGCCTTACAGCAGTGCGAGTTGGTCCAAAACATGATAGACCTGAGCATCTCCAACCTGGAAGGGCTTAGGACCAAATGTGCCACCTCCAACGACCTCACACAAAAAGAGATCCGGACCCTGGAGGTAGGTGTTGCCTATGGAAAAAAAGCAATCTTTCCTTACCTCTCCCTGCTCCCCACCACCCCCTTTCCTTGGATTCTGTTGGTTGGGGGGGGGGGGAGGGCAGGAGGGTGTGGAAGGGCAGCAAGGTGGGCACGATTTGATTTTCTGTGATTTATCCTCTTTGCAAAGCCTGCACTGGATGTCCCTTTACTGTACCGCTGTCGTCTACGCTTGGTTGGGTGGTGGTAGTAGTAGTAGTAATTGTGATTCCTTCTGTATTATTATTCTTGCGGCTGTTATTATCATTCGCTTCCTTTCCGAGGAGTGAGTTCTCTCTTTTTTCCGCTTGTGGATTTGTTTCTATGCCACGGGGGCTTGTGTGCTGGGTAAGACATCAAGGCGCTGCAGAGAACCCACGTGACCTTGCGCATTCTGCAGGTGGTCAAAAGGTGGTTTTTGCTCGCGGAATGGGGCTGCCTATAAATATAGACCTCTTCTGCTCTCGGCCTCCTTCCCAGCCCCGATTTTGCCCCTTGGATTTTGCTTTTTGTTTTTGTTTTTGTTTTATTTCAGTGGTATACATGTCAGGAGGCAAGATGAAAAAAAAAAGGAAAAAAAGAAAAAGAAAAGCAAAAAAGAAAGAAAAAATTCCCATTGAGCTCCCCATTTCCAATCAAATCATTTGATGCAGGGAACTGTTGCAGGCCTGAAACGTATAAAAAGAACATAAAATATGCCTGGATCAGCACATGCGAGTGGTGTGGGAAAATACTCTTGAATCTTGGTGGGACCGTTCAGGAGAGGGGTCAGAGGAGGAGTTACCTCTGTTGAGTTGTAACGTTGTCTCCCACAGAACTTGAGGGGGAGTTTGAAGCAGTTTGGGGGATGGAGTTGGATTCAAAGTTACTCTGAACGAAGATGATAGAAATTATTTCTTCCCAAGGCCATTTGGTCAAAGGAGGAAGGTTTCCAGAGCCTTAGAAAATGTCTGGTGTGCACGTAATCATTGGGCATCCACGTTGTTGGAGACATCTGAAGGGTTCCACTCACTTCTCCCTCAAACCAGCTGTACACATAGCTTGATTAAATTTGGGAACTCCCATTAGCTGGCATTTGCTGAGGGTGGTGGCTGTGGGGCTGGGAGCAAAGGAAAGTTCTCCCTCTGGCGAAGTGGGCATGTGCAGTGCTGGGAGGTTCCCTCATTCCAGCCCATGAGTGTCTAAGGCCTGAACTCTTCTGTCCCTGATGAATCTTTGAGCCCTGTGTCCCCTGTTCTGGCCTGGGATAAGCCCCCCTCTCTGATTCACTTTAAAATCTTTTTTTTTTTTTCCCTTTCCATGGTTTTAACTTCAGCTGGTTGTCAGCACACAGAAAGGTCATCGATTTGAAAGTGGAGTGTGTGTGAGTGTAATATGCTGTTTGCTACCCTAGAATACATGTCTGTGTGCACCTGTCATCTGGGAAGATGATCCTCAGAAATGAAATAAAATAAGTGTCAAGAGATATCAGAGGAGTGGAAATTCAGTTGGGAGGCTAGGTATTTTCTTTCTCAGAGCTTCGGGAGAATAGTCTAGGCTAGGACTTTGTTGCTAGAAGAAAAAGTGTGGGATGCCCTGGCCCAGCCTTCTATTGTGTGTGTGAGCAGTGTTCAAGGTAAGATTTTGTTCAGAGCTGCAGGCAGTGAATAAATAAGTAACCCGAAAAGTCGTCTTCTGGTCCTTTGTGCCAGGAGTCCCAAGTGCTAGTTCTGGTATCACTAAGTTCCTTCAATTTTCTTTACCTCTTTTCAAAGCATGCTTCATCCTCTGATAGCTCCTTGAGTGATGGTGATGGTCACAGTGGACCCTGGTCCCTGTGGCTTCTTCCCTGCACAGTGGTTTTCTTTGAAAACCAGGGGATGGAGTTGAAAAAGGTGGCAATTACTCAGAGTGCATCTGATTGTTAGTTTCCTGGTCCCAGGATGCCACAGAGCAACCTCACAATCACTTTCCCGATATTGCGCAGGGAAGGGTCTCCAGCATTCAGGCCAGTCTGTGCTTCTCAGGTCCCTGGGGCAAGGGTGGGGCCACTGAGGAAGAAGGGTGGTGACTCCAGGTACAGCCAGGTCCCTAGGAGCCTCACCCAGGTGTTGGACCAGACAGAGGTCCTTTATTCCCCCAAACCTTCACCAGAACCCTGAGGGAGCTTATTTAAAATGCACATTCTCAGCCTCTTACCCCAGAGGTTCTAATTCAGATGGGACTGGGGGGGCAGAGAGGGGGGGAAGGCCCAGAAATCTGCATTTAAGAAACAGTCCAGGTGTTTCTGATGCATGCTTTCACATCGACACTCTGAGAAATACCCACCTATTAGGAGGTAGATGGTGTATTTCTGCTATTTGATGGTGAGCACTTCCTGCTCACAAACACTAAAGTAAGCGGTGAATCTACAGACTATCCCTGAAAACCGTAATAATAGGCACAAGTTAGTAGCATGCATATGACCCTGTGGGAACAAAAATGTACAGCGTGGAGTGAGCCTTCCGGAAGTGTCCTGCATGATTAGGGAGACAAGGCTAATAATATACATGTGAAATAATGATCAAGTCCAAACAGCAAATAATATGGGAGGGCAGCATGTGGGTCCATGAGGAATGTGTTCAAGCCGCATGAACTGGAAAATCCAACCACAGTGTTCAAGTGAACAGTGGCTGCTTTTTCTCGTGTAGCAAGAAGTCTGGAGGTATATGGCTGCTTGAGTTGGCTCAAGTAAGTTAATAACATCAGGGCCGATGTCTCTTTGAGTTCTCAATGGCCTCTTTCTTATGGTTGCAAGATGGCTCTTGAAGCTTTAGCCATCACACCCAGGTGAGGCGTGTGCAGGGATAAACGGTTCATCATGTCTTTGTATCACTTCCCCAGGATACCTGCAGTTACCTACCCCGCAGATGACGTTTAATTGTGTCTTCTCGGCCAGACTCAGTTAGATGGCTAGTCCCAGCTGCAAGGCTGGGAGGTGGGGAAGCGAGAACACCATCGTGAGTGGTTTATATGAGTCGTGGTCCATTGCCTCAGTTGATCTGTTGCCACTCCATACAAAATCAGGGTTCTGCTGGCATGGACGAAATCACGAAGGGATATTGGGTGGATAGCCAGTAACATTGGCCTTGGCATGTTACCAGGAGGTATTCTGGGAGAGAAGAAAGATCATGAGCTTTGGAGTTAGACCAATAAAGTTTTAAATTGTAGTTTTTCTACTTAACTTTATCTTGGGCTAGTGATTTAAGTTTTCTGGACCCATGGCTTAATTTTTTGGCAAAATGGCAAGAAAAAAATAGCATTACCTACTTTGGTGGTTATGAGGATTAAAAGAGAAGATATTTTCTTTCTTTTTTTTTAATGAATGTATATTCTTTTTTTTTAAATTTTTTATTTATTTATGATAGTCACACACAGAGAGAGAGGCAGAGACAGAAGCAGGCTCCATGCACCGGGAGCGTGGGATTCGATCCCGGGTCTCCAGGATCACGCCCTGGGCCAAAGGCAGGCGCTAAACCGCTGCGCCACCCAGGGTTCCCAAGAAAAGATATTTTCAAAGTTCTAGGACTATGTGTAGCACAGCCCTCAGGGGCCAAATAAATGATAGTTAAGATGATGATATGATTAGCATTACATGGTGTGGGGTAGATAACACGGAAGGAGCAGCTAGATCTGAGGGAGAGTTTGAGCAGCATTTCCAAAATATGGAAGGGAAGAGTTTGAGCAGCATTTCCAAAGTATGTTCTGTGGAACTCTAGTTCTGTGGGCTCTTGGCTTTTTTTTTTTTTTTTCTCTTGGCATTTTTTATTCTTCCAACAAGTACTTGAAATCCATGGACTGTATTAGATGCTGGTAGTTAACAAGTACTCTGTAAACAAAATGAATTCCTTGGTTCAAACATCTGGGAAAGGTTGAGTTAAACAAGGGGAAACAGACTTCTCAGAGCCTTTACTATATCAGGTATGTGTGTCTGGTGACTCCAAGAGAGGATAGAATCTGCTGCGTTTCCTTTTTCCAAGGATATCCCTTGGGACTGATGTTCCATAGAATACACCCAGGGAAACATTTGGCAAAGCAGTTAGGGTAGCTTTCTTGGTTGGGGACTTGGGGACCCTGAGTGGAGAGAAGGATGGGGAAGGTTGAGATCACAGCAGGTTGGTAGAACCTGCTCGGCAAGAACAGCCAACCAGATGAAGGCATATCGCGCCCATTCATGCCTTCATAGGGCAGCCTCGAGACCAGTTGGTCCAGAATGGAGAATACTGGAAGAATGTCATAGAAAATGAATTTAGGTCACAGACTCTTGAGATCTGACTAAGGACAAGGGAGTCAGACTGACCAAATTTCATTCCTTTGAGGAAGGAGATTGAAGTCTTCAAAGGTTTTGGAGTGATACGATAAAAAGTTGTTTAAAGGTTAGTCTGATGGCCCTGCAGCAAGGGCCAGCAAACTTTTTCTGTAAAGGGGCAGTTAGTGAATAGTTTAGGCTTCGTGGGTTACACATCTTCCATCACAGCCACTGAGCTCTGCTGTTGTACTGTGCAGCAGCCGTGGACGAACTTTCTCCACAAATGGACGTTTTCCAATGCAGCTTTATTTATGGATCCTGAAATTCAAATTTGATATAATTTTCACATGCCAGAGAGACATTATTTTCCTATTGATTTTTTTTTGACATTTAAAAATGTAAAAACTATTCTTAGGTTTTGGCCCTTACAAAAACAGGCAGTGGGTCAGATTTGGCCTGCAGGTTACAGCTAGTTTGCTGGTCTCTGATCTGTAGGGTGGATGATCTAGTTCTGCTGATCTTGCCTGGGTCACTCATGTGGTTGTCATCATTGGATGGCTCAGCTGGGCTGGATGGTCCAAGATGGCCTTGCTCACGTGGCTGGTGGTTGGTTAGGGTACCTTGGTTTTCCTCCACATGGCCTTTCCAGTGGGACAGCCAGATTTCTTACCTGGTGGAAGCATCAGTGTTCCAAGAGAACAAGCCCCATTGCACAG